GGTGAACAGCAACATAGATGCATTGCAACATCATCAAAACGAGGAGGGTAGCTTCAGTGGCTTAGAAGTAGTAGTAGCAGTAGCAGTAGCAGTAGCAGTAGTAGTAGTAGTAGTAGTAGTAGTAGTAGAGGTAGAGGTAAAGGTAGAAGTAGAGGTAGAGGTAGAGGTAGAGGTAGTGACAGAGGTATAGGTAGAGGTACAGGTAATTAGGGGTAGAGGGGTAGAGGTAGAGCACATGTATGTATGTCAGTAAGTAAGAAAGAAAGAAAACGAAAGAACATAGAAGGACTAGCAGGTATTCCCCTGAAAGCCCTGGGCCCCAAACTCAAAGCGTCTGTAGAGGATTTTTTCTGAAGTTCTGAGGGTAAATCTCGCATTGATATTTCCGAGTGTAGAGGTTGCCGCTTTTTGGTGTACAACTTAGTCTTGGCCATGTATGTATGTATGTATGTATGTTTGTTTGTATGTATGTATGTATGCACGCATGCATGTATGCATCTGTATATATATATATATACTATACATACCTGTATGGCTTGGGTATGCGTTCTGCCGTTTGCGCCGCTGATTCTGCCCATGTTGATTGATGAAGATTTTCAGGAGACGCTGATGATCTGCTGCCCGTCGGCATTTGAAGACACTTGACATTGAGCTGTTCAACTTGGGATGTCTCGTTGGTGCGTGCGCGGACTCCTCAACTCTCCAATGTATAACCCGACTGGTCTGTGGGCATTTTTGAATGTGTCCAATCTCGAATACAGTAGAAGCAATCCTCGGTCGGGCAAAATAAATAATGCTTGCAGCATGGACAAGAGTTGCATGCGCATGCTGCGCACATCAGCTTCTGAACTGCAGGTTCACCATCCGCTTGGCAATGCGCGGCAGCCTCGGTGCATCAGTGAGCTGGGGACTAGGTTTCCGCTCAGTCTCTCATGACTGTGGCGCGGTTTTGAGCTCAGGCTATCGCTGCCAGCTGGTGGACAACGACAACTACAGGGACTGGAAGCGTGAGGACAGATATCAACATTCAGCAATATGATGTATACTAAGGCTTTTGGGTTGGCTTTTGGGTTGATGCTTTCGCGGTCCGAGGTTTAGAGTCGCAGAATTTTTGATTGGGAAGGAGGGAAAATGGGGGACAAACGACGACATTCGCGAATGGCTCAACGGAGATGGAGCACAACTCAAGGCCCGTGGGCATGCCACATCGTCCCTGAACCCACCCATTACGAATGTGAGTGCTTGCAAGTTCCTGTTTAATCAGCACAATTCTCAGTCTCCAACCCTCAGCCCGCAGTCCGGCGTTGGTCACCTAAGGCCCTTGCCTCGAACCTCCACGGTCATGTCAATAAGTAGGGGATGAGGCGGAAGACTACGTTGCCGACGGTCCTGACGGTAGTGATGGTAGCATGGATGCTGGAAGCTTTAGTGATGACTTATTGATGCAGCGTGCTTTGTTGTTGTTGTTTGTCCTGTTCTTCTTTGTCTTCCAACCATATTTGTTCTTGTCGTCGTCGTCGTCGTTGTTGTTGTTGCCTTGGATTGGCGGGCTTCCGTCAATGCCGCGACATGTATGTCGAATCCTGGAATGCACACCCCTTTGCCCACTTGTTTTGGCAAACATATGTATGTGTGTATGTGTGTACATGTATGTATATATATATACACACACATACTCGAACTGTGTAGCCTCCTATGTGTTTTCTTATGTGCTTTGTTCTCCTTTTGTTGTACCTGACCCTCGACATGATGGTTATGTGCGATGCTGCATGCGTTTCGTGTGAATAAAATATCTGCTTTGGCATTTGGCCAAGTATGTATCACCTACTAAGGCCTGATATCACTGTCATCGGATGTTGTCCTTCTGACCGGGATTGGGATTCCGTGAGGGCACGTAGTTTCGCACAAATAGAATACAACCCGGACAGCTTGACTCTACTAATGGAGCTTCAGTCTTAAACCGTCGCCGCAACCCAGGTGACATATGTCTGAGCCTGAGAATCTTCAGCCGTCGGCCAGCGGGCAGGGCCTGGCGTCGGAAGTCTACGCACAGACGTACGTTGATACATTGACATGTCGTGCAGATTCAGGTTGCATTCACTGAGCAAGTTATCCGTGACAGCGAGATTCATGCAGCACTAGGCCAACTGCAACAGCTAGCCAGGAGTACCTAGTAACCTTCCATTGCAGGGGCTTGAGATTCTGCTTGCCAGGGGTGAACCCCAAATCCATAACCGCCTTTCTTCGCCTGTGTGGCTGGCGCTCAGGTCTTCGACAAAACTGGGCGATTCATCCCGTCTGTACAGCCAGAGAGGAGCCCCACGCCTTCGGTAGGATGGGCCCTAATGGTAAGTCCTAAAGCCCAAAACCCCTCAACCGCCTAAACCCCTTGAAGCCCCCGCAAGCAAGAAGAGCCTTCGGCCTGAGAGGGGGGCGAAGGGAGGCTCGGGTTTGGGTTTGGGTTTGGGGTTTGTGGGCAGGAAGAGTTTGTGGGTTTCCAACCCTACGTGGCGTTTGGGGTTCAGGTTTGGAGGTCTGGGAACAGGGCCTTGAAAAGCTGAGCCTAATGTCAGGATGATTTGAGATTCGACGTTGTCGGTTCGAGCTTCGGAGCCAAGCACAGTGTCCCAAAGAGCCGGAGCAGAGTTTCAAGGTAGGGCAGATATCATATTTTGGGGCCAAAACTGCACAGGAATCTCCTTCAGAATTGTTGAAGCGGCTCCGCTTGGTTTTTAGGTCATCCTGCGGTTCTGAGCTTTCGCGAAGTCAAGTCATGATTGGAACAATGGTAGGTCGCTTCAGAACTGCCATGTCTCATGTCCTGTTGAATGGAGGGTTTGTCTGCTGGAAAGTCTTGCTTGCAGGACAACGTGAAGCCTCACCGAGAATCGGCAACTTGGTCGCATGCTCTGAAAGTCACTCTTGCGGCCTAAGTTCAAGCTCTATAAGCTCTTGCCTTCGCACTTTCAGCATAGGGTTTGGTCCCATAGATCAACGAGCACCCGGAAGTCAGGCATTCGACACGGTTTGCCGGCACCTCATGGGCCTGCGCGGCAATGAGCTCACGCTACTTCTGGAAGGCTATCTGCGCTCCGCTGGTGGCTGGGTTGCAGGTGCGAGCTAGCTCGCTCGCTCGCTCGCTAGCTAGCTAGCTAACTAGCTAGGTAGATAGACACAGATGCAGACAAATGTGTAGATCACACATGTGTATCGTAGTTTTGCATACTGTGTATACACGGGTAGAGGTTTGACGGTGTTCGCATGCCTGCAGCTGAGGCTCGCGGTGAGGGGCCATTGGCCTCTGCTGTCCACTTCCTGAATGCCTGGTCATGGCCACAGAGAGGCACAGCTGCCGGCTGTGGCCGCAGACGATGACGCCGTCGTAGAAGGAATCGACAACGAAGTTCGGACACGGACAGTATAGCCCAAATGGGCCAAGTGGAGGCTCCCTGCAAGTTCCCCACAGAGAGAAATGTTGACAGCCTCGACAGAATTCTAGCAAGGGGCCCAGGTTTTGACACAGATCCGAATACCAGGACACTTTTTTGCCCAAAGGGCCTGTACAGGCAAATCTCGCTGAAGCGATGGCGAACAGAGAAAGTCATGGAGGTCACCACTGTGCTTAGGCTTGACCGGTTCAGAGGTTCAGGGGGTGGCGTGTTTTGCGCACTAACACAAACTGTTGAAACTTCCTCCCTCTGTACTGCGCCGGGCCACTATCTCGACCCACTAGCTTCAACAACGAAGGCGACCCATGCCCCCACCCTTTTCTCCCTAGACTCTTGACAGAAGTGAGCCTCCTCCTCCGCAATGAATTAGTAGTATATTAGTAAAACGGCGTAGTAATTACTCCGCTAGCCGGCGTAGGGAGTTCGTCACTTTCCAAGCGTCCCCGCTACTCCGCAAAAGTCTGTAACTTGATTTAAGGCCCGGTAGCTCAAAACTTTCGGCCCCGGGGTGCCTTATAGTGGGGGCTGTCTGTCCATGGAGCTTCAAAAGACATACAAGGAGGTCTTTGAGGTCTTTGCCAAGAAGGGCGGCATGGCGCGATCCTAGCATGTGTATCACCAGAACTGCAAAGGACGGGACTCTGGCCTCGAAAATGCAAGCTGAATTCTCTAAGTATATGTTTGTGCTTCTACTACACGGTCCACAGCTTCAGGGTTTCATGGCGGTCTGAATCGGTGGACGCATGGAGAGACCAGCGTTAAAGTCTTGCATCACGTGGCCCTTTGCCCTGGGGTTTCGTGCCTGTTTTGCTGGTTTGGGAAAGGGTTTGGCAGTTGGGATTTCGGGCTCGAGCCGGAAAGCCGGTCCAAGATGCTTCAAATTGAAAGCTTGAAGGTGTGAGTCTTCAGGAAGAGGTTTCCTTAAGCGAAACCCGTCGCTTCTCAGTATTTTGCCGACGCTTGTAGGTTTTGCATAGTTTTGCTCCCAAATGTTGCGCCCTAAGCGCCTAAACCGAACTCCTAAAACCCTAACCTAACCCTAACCTCTGAACCCGACATCGAGACCCAAGATCAAAAGCACAAATGCTCAACTCTCAGATATCTTGAAGCTGCGAAAAGTGCCTTCAACAGCCCCGTGGAGGCAGGGGGTGCAGACGTTAGTGCTGCCCGTCGTCGGGTTTGGCAGCGGCGTCCGGGAAGAGGATTTGGGTTTCCACGTTGAATTTCTGACCTCTGTTCGGGCCCTGGGTGTGCGTCCGTCCGTCCGTCGGTCGGTCGGTCGGTCGGTCGGTCGGTTTGTGTCGGTTGTGACACGGCTTGACTTGTAATTGAGGTTCTTGGGATTTAGCCTGGGGTCTCGGTGCTTTATCGGATAGGTTTCAGAGCTCACATGCTACAAAGCTGCGAGCACCTCCCTCCTCCCGTTTCCAACGACCCACATTTTACAAATGCGCTGATCTTTTTCACAGTCTTCATCCATTTCTACACATCTACCTGTCTATCTATCTATCTGTCCATCCATCCATCTATCTATCTGTCGATCTATCCATCTATCTATTTATCGACCTATCTGTATCTACCCTATCTATTATCGATCTGTCTATCGTTCTATCTACCGATCTATCTATCGATACACCGATCTATCGGTCTATCTATCGATCTATCCATATATCTATCTATCTATCTGTTTATCTATCTGTCAATCTATCGATCTATGTATCTATCTCTCTCTCTATCTATCTATCTATCTATCTATCAATCAATCTATCTATCTATCTATCTATCTACCTATCAGTCAATGTATCAAGCTATCCATCAATCAACCATTCTATCTATCTATCTATCCATCTATCTATCTATCTATCTATCTATCTATCTACCAGTCAATCTATCAAGCTATCCATCAAGCAAGCAGTTTATCTATTTATCTATCCGTCTATCTATCGATCGATCGATCTATCTATATATCGAGGTATCTTTCTATCCATCGATCTATCGTTTCTTCTATTTATCTGTCTACCTATCTGTTTATCTATCTATCTATCTACCTATCTATCTGTCCATCTATCTATGTATCCATTTGCCTATCTACCTATCTACCTATATACCTATCTACCTGTCTATCTATCTTTTTGTCTATCTATGTATCTATCTGTCTATCTATCTATCTATCTATCTACCGATCTACCTATCTACCTATCTACCTATCTACCAATCTATCTACCTATCTGCCGCTGTATCTATCTACCTATCTATTGATCAATCTATTGATCAATCTATCTATCCGTCTTTTCCTATCTAGCGATCGATTTGCCTCTCTGTCTATTATATCTATGATCATGTCTCACAGTCTATCCATACACGCATAGATACATACATACATACATACATACATGCATACATGCATGCTTGCATGCATACGTACAGGCAGGTGTATGTACATGTACATCTACACATACATGTACACATACATATACATACTCATGCACGCGTACGTACGTATGCACATACATACCTGCACACCCCGACATACACACATACGTTCATACATAAGTACTTCTTATTTGTTTTCTTTCATAGGCATTGACACAAACATAGACATGGACATGGAGATAGTTCGTACGTACCGACATACCTGCGTATGTACGTCGTACATGTAGTTGCATCTACGTACCCCAAAGAGTTGCATCTACGTACCCCAACGATGTTTGCTATGATTAGCGTCTTCCGCGTTCCTTCATAGTTGTGGTGTGTCTGTCTGTGTGTTGACGTTGATGCTACGGGTTTAAGCGCCGCTGCGCCGTATTGTGTTGGTGCCAGGGATTTGCTGTATTGTCTCGTCGAGCCTCTGCACTAGACGCTATACTGTCACTCTCAATTCTTGTTCGGCATTTAGGCCTCCTCGACTTAACCACAAGAATTGCCGGGTTGTGCTCGCAACACTGGACATTCTCTCTCAGCCCGCAAAAATTCTGCAAAGCCTCCAGCCTATTTCCTGGTGCGCCGCAGGGCCGAAGCCTCAAAGGGTTAAGAGCCCTCCACAATCGGATTGCATACATGCCCGGTAATAAAGTTTCGTCGCATCCGCTTAGAAACACTAAGCGGAGTACGCG